GGGGTTATAAGAATGTAAAAAATTGATTTACTCTCCCTTTCTTATTGAAAAAAATCTATGTTAGTAGTTAAGTTTGTATCGTACTGGACTTCAGAGTGGATGGCTGTGGTTCAAATCATGTGGGTGGTTGGAGGGCGCCACTGCCGTATGTTCTACTTCTTTTCTTTACCTCTGTCTTTTCTGTGTATCTGTCTTGCTTCACCCTCGCTCTATGTGACTTATTGTGTCAATGCGCTTCTCTTTACTTACTCAAACTCAAACTCAAGGCTCGAATTCCAGACTGGCGTTCTTGACTCGAGTCATTCAGTAGAGTTTTCAAGGCTGTCAACCAATTTGGCACGGTCCTATCAGAGACGGATGTTAAATGTCGAGGTCCCACCTCTCAAACAACCTAATAAGGACATTAAATCCATGCACTTTCTTTCTCAAGTACCACCTTTAATCTTTGGCACTTTCATGACCTGGAGGACTCATTATCTTACATTGCCTATGTGTTTCAAGCGCTGTAAAACTCTTACCAACCCTCCCACTCCCCTCCCTGGGCGGTACCACTGACTGAAGTGTCTTTAGATCATTCTCAAAGGGGGGACATTTCTCGTTCTTAAGCACAGTAGAATTGTAAAAGGGCTGATTCAACAATGTCACGCTCATAACTGTACCTGAACTACAACAGGGAACTGCTGCTTTTTCTTTCCTCATCCTTTCTATCGTCCTTTTTTCCTCTACTTCTTTTGTATGTTTGTCACTCTCTTGGGAACTGCTATTTCCGGGGTGCTTTGATAGTGGAAGCAGACATTGTGCTGTTGAGGCTAGAGAGGTGGAGCAGAGAAAGACTGATTCCCCTTTTGGAATTCTCTGTTGACATCCACCCCTTGGTGCTCATTTGACCTTATGCAGTTGTGAGCACCGTAAAAACCTTACTAAAACTAAACTAAAACTTGCACACTTGCTTAAGTTACTAAAAGTACTCGAAGTGGATGGTTAGCTGGTGGTCTGGTGTGGTTTGCTTCTTCTTTCCTATCAAACATCTATTGTGTTTGTCTCCCATCCTTTTTTGTGTTTGTTACTCTCTTGTAACACCTCTATTCTTTTGCTCTTAACTTATACGACCTTATTGTGTTGCAAGTGCCGTAAAACGCTTACTAAAACTTATACAGAGAGGTGAGCAGAGAAAGCCTGATTCCCTGTTAGGACTTCTCTGTTGACGTCCACCCCTTGGCGCTCGTTTGACCTTATGCAGTTGCGAGCACTGTAAAAACCATACTAAAACTAAACTAAAACCCGTACACTTGCTTAACCCTAACCGTACGTCGTGTTTTACTATCGTATCCATACAACATGGGGAACTCTGTGCCACCACTTTCCAAAGAGGAAATTTACTCGTTAATCCAATCCGTACGCTTTGCATAGCAGTCTGTCAAAATGATTTTTTGAGAAATACTGAAAGTTTAGTTTCAAAGAGATCTTCGTACCAGAAGTATTCTAAAATGTGAAGAATACAACCCCGGGGGGTACGAAATGACCCCAGGACATTTTGATAGGGTTAAGTAACTCCAAGTTACTCAAAGTACTCGAACTCCCGGTCCTCAGTACACAGAGGGAGACCACCTAAGCCTGGAGGAGAACCAATCACGTAGCCCCCCAGCTGTCGTCCACCGCATCCACCGAGAGCTACAGGCGCTGCGCAAGTGTTTCAGCGGGGCTGAGCTGGTGCACTGGATCATCAAGAACAAAGATGCTCTGCCTGCTGGTATGCCTCTCTTTTATGTGTGTGTGTTTCTCCCTTTTGTTGTCTCTCTCTCTTTGTCTCTCTCTGTCTCTCTCTCTCTCTTTTGTGTGTTTCTCTCTCTCTCTCTCTCTCTCTCTCTCTCTCTCTCTCTCTCTCTCTCTCT